ATCACCTAACAAGGGGCGCATTGTTACTTTCTTAAAACGTAATTTCCCCCCTTGTCATGACAAACCTTTGTTACCTCTTACTTTCCTAACATTTAGTTTTTTTTTATTTTGTAATGCTTGTTGATTGTTCATGCTTGTATTGATTTATTATTCATTGGTTGTACACTAAGGGTGCCACTTCCAGACAGATTTAATGTGATTCAATCACCATGCTGAGGTAAAAACAAAATAATTCCAACACTCAGTAATAGATTCTGTGACAGAATGCTGTTCTTATAAGCATTGCGTTCTAAACACATTAATTGTTGCAGAATGAATATATGCTGGTAGCTTTATTGGTTTCAAACTGTTGAGCCTTGAGAGGTAAAGTGAGTCAATGTCGCCAGTTGGCATGGTCCATGCTCTCGCCCTCTCTCTCACTCTCCGTCTCTCTCTCTCCCTCTCCTTCTCCATCTCTGTCTGTTTCTCTCTCTCTTTATATATCAATCTCTCCTCTCCTTTCCCCTCTTTTTATATCTCTATCTCTCTCTCTGTCTTTCCCCTCTCCATTCCCCTCTTTCTCTCTCTCTCTCTCTTTCGCTTTATCTATCTCTCTATCGTTATCTTTCTCTCTCTCTGTATCTCTCTCTCTCTCTTTCCCCTCTCCTCCTCTCTATCTCCATCTCTTTCTCTCTCCCTCGATATCTCTCTTTCCGTCTCCACCCCTCTTTCTCTCTCTATCTCTTTCTCTCTCTCTCTCTCTCTCTCTTCCTCTTCTGGGAAGCTGATCAGTGGGGTTCCCCTGAGGTCACATCTAGAATGACCTTTGTTATATATCGTTCATTATACATGTTCATGGGGGAGACATCAAGCTTGGTCTTAAAGGGGGACATTACACAAATATGAAGTTAATTTAGGGATAGCAAAATGTGCTGGAATGAAAAGAAGATGTATCTGGAAGGCAAAATGCATAATTCACCTGTTGAGAGCCAGAAGGGCACTAAGTCTGAGACTGAGTTAAAGTATATGAGATAATGCCCTTGTAGCACTAAACAGATGAATGGCATGGGATGGGGGGGGGGGGTCATAGTTTTATCTCAATAGAAGTGAAAACCACATCATGAATGTCCTTGATTAGGCTTGTGATTACCTAAATATCCATTCAGATATGTCAAATAAGTACTATTAGGGTGCGTTTAAGCTTAAATTTTGAAGGCAGAATGAGCGATTTGTAATGCTCATCGTAAACGCTCATCGTAATCGCAGTTCCACGGTGTACTGTTTATGCTCACTTCTCTGGCTCCTCTAGACCCACTAGAGGTCAGTGCGTTGACCCCATTTAAACTTGTTTACAAATTGTAAACGCATCTTTTTGTGAGTTTACGATTGGCGATCATGATCGCCGTTTTTCGGTGATTCTACAAAAGTGAGAAAGGACGCAACCGTGTTTTAAACTAAACGCGTAACAGATGCCTGATTCTGGCCCGAAAAAGTTAAGCATAAACACGCCCCAAATGCAACAACATCACTTATTCCCTATATTGCTTTCCGAATGCCTCTCTTCTTTCTATATTGCATCTTTTCTTGCCATTGCACTTCGCTAAGCTTTCCTATAAATAAAGATACATGTATGCTTGATAGGTGTGCATGGGGGTGAAGTAGATTTCAAGTCACATGATTGAATATATTACAAATGCTATTATGCTAATGTGCATATATAAGCTATCATATTTTAGACACAACCTATAAGGAATTTCATACTTTATTGTTGAATTAATTGATAAACATGGAGGATATTTCTTAATTTAGTAAATGTTGATATCAGAAAACTCTCTTTTAAAAGATTTGTTTGTTCTGCACCAGTATCTTGTTGTAGTTTTAATTTTTTATAGATAGGAATAAACATTAGATTGTGAGAAATTGCTTCTAGGCAGTTCACAATATATTTTCAATTTATTTTTAGAATTTTCTTTAAAAAAGTACGCATCAGCGCCCTCTAATTTGTTCCGTAATAGTGCATTTCTGTGCCACCCAATGAAACAGAAGAAATAGATTGCTTAAATGTATTTTTAGTTCATGAGATTACCGAATGAATTTACACATCACTTATTTTTCATGAAATACTGAAAAGCACAATTCAATCAATTCCATAATGGCCTTACATTTCTAACAAGATATTAGGCAATTCCAGTCGCAGATGTTTTTATTCTGTATCACAGGGAAGGTGATGAAAGTCACAACCAAAATATGGTTAGTGCATCATCCATAGAGGATTGTAGGAGAATAATCAATAAGCACAAGATGTGTACTGTAGGGAATTATTCTTCTGTTGATTCAGCTGGATACTGTAGCCCCACGTATTGACTTTCATGTGTGATGAAGAATTTTTTCTTCTTCTAATTAAACATGGTCACGATTAATTGAAACATGATGCCTTTTCTTTACTCTTGTCTGGTTGTTCTGTATTACTGATTATTGATTTGTTTTTCTTTTCCATATCGCTTGTAACTTCACAAGTCCACAAGTGTGGTAAAAATCTTTGTTTCTGCATGACAGAATTTCAGCCAGGGTATATGTTAGATTAAGTCATACTGGAATATAACTTCAGGGCAACAAATTCATCGCCATGCATCGATAAGAACATGAAATTTGTGGGCATGGTTTAGATTGATCAAACCGAATAGCTTTGAACCCGAGTAAAATGAGAAACCGTTTATCAGGCGAAAGGAAAATAGAAGGCAAGTTGAGAGATCGAGAGAGAGATACGTGTAGATGTACGCCCCCAAAAGATTAAAAGTGCTGTTTAGCATGCTTGAATATTGTATGTCTTGAATTTGGAGTCCATTATGTACATTTATGTTACTCTAATAAGAAGCAACATTGCTTAGTGTATCAAATTAAAAGACACTTATTCCTTTATATATCTATATGTTCTTGTTTTTTATTTCAAGTATAGGAAATGCACTTTCAGATGAAATTACATTTGTTGAGAGAAATTATCCTGTATGAATTGATCATTTGTTTACCTCTGTCTATTACCCTTTGAAACTATTACTCCTTTTCATATAGCCCCAAAAGCAAGAGGCCTAGCTAGAATGTTGTAGATAACCTTTAAAGCTGACTACAAAGCTGACTACAAAGTAGGTATTAAAATATTTACATGTAGACTCCCATTTCATGGCCATTCCGTTTGCTCTGTAATCAAATGCTGCTCAATGACATCCCAGTTGGATCTGGAGGTATGTTCCCATTATCCCAAAATAACAGGCTAATTCTGATTTGGGGGGAAGTATACCCTTTCACAAATTGCCCCACCAAGCTGCGATCAGGGAGATATGTTGAAGAGGCAGGTCTTTGTCATCTGTTGCCTAGCGCACTTTCACTCCTGAATATTTCGTGGCTGTGCTTGGGAAAGTAGCTTGAGCCACATGTATTATTATCCCCTCGCGAGTCGGAGGGGATATAGTAACGATGTCGTCCGTCCATACTTTCGTCTGTAACAAATCTGGTTTCCTTTTGATAACTTTAGTAACGTTTGACGGATTTTAATGAAATTTGATATGTAGGTACATGGTATCAAAACACAGCCTAATTTCGGGGTATGTAGGTTAAAGGTCAAAGGTCATAGCTCATTAAATATGCAAAAAAAAGCTAATTGCAATGGCGGGACTTGAACCGCTGACGTTGTGATCCACAGTCCGGTTTGGTATCCACTAGACCACGATGCCTGTTTGATGTTTGATGTTATTGTTATTCCAATTTTAACTTCCAATATTATGCATATGATGTAGAGGTGTCTTGGTCGAGTGGATATGTCACTGGACTGTGGATCTTAAAGTCCATGGTTCGAGTCATGCCGCGGCACTTATGTCCTTTGGCCAGACATTAATCTACATTAGCCACGCTTGACCCAGGCGATGTAAATGGGTACCTGACAGGAATTAATTCCTTGAAATGCTAGAGCGCCGTAATGGCAGCCATACTAAAGCAGGGGTAATAATTGTGGAGCGCGCCAGGAGTGTCAAGTTTGACAGTCAAGAAAACTAAACAAGAACCCAATATCATACTCACGGTATTTTTTTTGTTTTTTGCTGTTGAGGTGGTTCACTGTGTCTTGTGTGAACAGGGCCTTAGAATACTCTAACCTGTATAAACTCTGAATGTCATGTTGATTTATCTCTTTGGCAAATATTAGCTAAGACCACCACGCATTAGCTTTTGCCCTGCGTTCCGACTTACATAATTCATCATACAGCTTCACAAGACTCACATACAGTAGCTTTATGATAATTAATTACGTTTTTAATAGTGTGAACGTCACATCAAGAAACGTGAATTAAGCGCATGTTTAAGCATCTTCCGAACGGCGGCTCGATAGAGAATCAGCATCTCTTCTTTCTGGTCAGAAAGTCATCTCGTATAACAAAACAAAATCATACAACTGGGCGGGGCTTATCATGAGCACCCACTGGTGATTGGCCAGCTGTCACATCAATGGACCTCTTCATAACTGGTTTCTTTATACAACATTATTAACATTTACAATGTTGTTATCTACTCTGTATGCCCCTTTCATTATACAAGGATTCTTTATACGGTTTTTTAATACAAGTTTTGTACAATTTTCATATAGTCTGAATAGGCTATGAATGTTCTTTCATTAATATCCCTGTATTGATCAGCTACAGTGAATCTCTTCATGTTGTATATATTTTTCAATTATTTACAATTATTCACTATCTAATAAAAAGTCATTTTCTGTCAATATTCCATACCTTTAAATCTCTTGCAGTCAACCATCTTATCACCAGTTCAGAGCCAGGAGGGCGTTAAATCATGCTTTAAAGTATATCACTTAACACGCTTCTGGATCCAAACAGAGGGTAACACGGTAGGCCAGGAGATACATCGCACTCAATGACAAATATACGAGAAATGCATGTGTGACCTCAGACTTCTATAACTGTCATATTTCTTCCTTTGTCAATAATCATTTCTCCCCCATCTCTTATATTTCCCAGGATGGCAGTATTTCTTTCAAGGAGTTTATTTGCGCGCTATCGGTAACATCAAGGGGGACTTTAGACGAGAAGTTAGATTGTAAGTAGATACCGCATGCTCCCCATTCAATCATCTTTCCATTATCAGGCCAGATTATTGTATTTTGTATGAATCAACCCCCGGATTCCCATGCCCTGACCTGGAAAAGTAGGGTCTATGTGACATGTTTTATTCATCAGTTAGGTCTGTAATAAGCCTGGTCATGTACAATGTACGTTTCAAAGATATAAAAAGATTAAAATTTTGATAGAAAGTGATAAAAGCAACAGTTATTTATAGAAAGTTTAGAGGTCTCGCTGATTTATGCTAATAAGCCTTCGGCATGGTTTTATCAGATTCAAAATGCATTGTTGACATAATTGAATTTTTTGGGGTAAAAACACATGAAACATGTAGCTTTAGAGTGGAAACTTCACTTAACAAAGGACAAGGTCATTATAAATACATCGTTGTTGATACATATAATTATGACTAGCCCTATCCACTGTGGCTAAAATAAATTTTGTTTTAAAGAATTCAGGAATGTTTTTAAAAAATGAAAACCTTGAGGCAAAGTGGTTACTAGTCTTTTGTTACACACAATGATTTTGCTTGTTATGAAAAGTAATCCGTGTTCACTTCAAGACAACCAGATATTTAAATGAGAATTTATACTATAAACATATACTGTATGCTCCTCATTATCAGTGTGCTTGGTCCATGACTGAATCATCTTCTCATCATCATGGCAGATTATTATATTTTGTCTCGATCAACTCTCTGATTCCTACGCCAGGACCTGGAAATTATAGGGCCAACGTTACACACTCTATCTAGCATTTACATCACTTTACAAAAGATAGACCAAGTGTGAAATATTTTCTGAAATGTGAAAAAATATGATTTACTGAATGATTCACACCAAATTGATACTGGTATTTGTGCATCAGAACAGGATTTTGCTTGTGAGAACACTTTTTTACCCATTCAAAAATTGTGATGAATTCTGTCTCTCGTGAAATTTGTCTCGTCTTAACATTTTATAGATATTTTTGGCCCTTTTTTTGCAAGTACATTTCATGCAACATTCTAATAAATCAGAGAAGTATTAAAGATGCAAGGTTATATTTTAACAGCTGTCATCATCATTTTCGGGGGCAGAGACTTGATTTTTTAATCAGTTTAAGATAAATTTTTACCCTCCATTTTTCAAAATGTGAAATAATACACATGATACATCTATACCGGTACCCATTGTCCAGTTTGTATGTGTGTTTAATTGACAGAAAAATTGGCATTTTGGAAAGGCTCTCATGTATATGATCTGTTAAGAACTAGAAGGGCATTAACGTTAACTCATACACTACTGGTATATCCTCACTTAGAGTTTAAAGGGATCGTTTAACTATGTTAAATCTGAGATACACGGCCCTACGTGTTATCAGTGTCTGTGATATGGTGTAATATTGAAGCCCTAAAAAAATTGCGCTTCAAAATGATCAAGAAGTGCCTCAAAAAAGTAAAAATCTTTGAGTGACCGATTTTACCATACTCGTTTTCCCCAATAGACTGTAGTGTTATGAAAACCGTCAGGCGAACGGTTTTCATAATTTGTAATTCCAATCATAAATATCTTGATAATCAGACAGGCGATCGGCTTGTAAAAGTCATGGGGTTCCTGACTGACCTAAAGGTTTATAATTATCATTGCATCATGAGCTAAATCCAGAATTTTGTTTCAGAATCTGAGACAAAGTTACCGGATCCCTTTAATGTCCTTCTAGCCCTCAACCTATGATACAGTCCTATGCACATGTTCAATTTGATGTTTAAATGCAATTGCAAAGAATTGGAAGAAAATTGTAGAGGTCATGCATGCTGTTTGATACACACTCCTCACTCATGGGATATTCATGATTAGAAACACACCAATTCCCATGACTGCATCTCTCTGATTCTACATGCCTTTTTAAATAATACACATTTTTTGATGTGTGAAGATCGCATCCAGGCACGCAGGTATACGTGCATTGTAAGTGGCTGTTCTTAAAGAGTATGTTGTTGTCCCTCTTCTAGAGGAACGGACAACAGGGGTGTCAAGTGTGATAGACAGGAGCACTTCACGAGAATCTATGACTATTATTAGCGAAATCAATATAATTTGACATTTTAGTTGCAAAAATATTTTTAGATTAGTTTTTAAGATTTTTACAGAATAGATATTCTTATTCCATTGTAATCAGTAAATTATTACTTTTTATTATTAGATACCAAGATATTTGTTTTTTAGGTGTGCTGCATGTAGAAAGTAAATGAATGAAGTGTATCAATCAAGCATACATTACTTTGTATTCTTATTATTTAATAAGAAATCAAAAACACAAGTGAATATATTAAAATTGATGCACTTTCATATGCACCACATTTGTGAAAAAGTTAAATATAAAATATTTCAACCGCTGTAACATGTATTTCAATCTTTTGCGATATTGGGAGTAGAATTATTTTTAATGTTGACCCCTTATCAGACTTAATTCACCCTTGTAGAAAGCTAGGCTAAAACTTACCTAGCTTATGGTCCGACACATGCAGATGGATAAGAGATTTTGATGTTCAGAGTATACTGCATCCCTCTGCTTCTGGCCTCTTGATGACTATTTAATGAGAGCTAGGGAGGAGATGAGGAAGACTTGTGGGGTCATTGTCATGGCAAGGGGATGGTGAAGATGTGAGACTTTGGTGGGGGTACAGTATATGGTTATATCTGTAGGAATTATATAGTTGAGGATCGATGAAGAAGATAATGGTTGTGAGAATGATTATGGCGATGATGATGACGGTGGTGGTGGTTGGTGGTGGTGGTTGTGATGGTGATGATATAAATGTTTGTTGTGTTCGTGGTGATTGTGTGGTAATTGTATGGATTTTATTGGTGATGATGATGATGATGATGATGATTATATGGTGTTGATGATGATGATGATAATGATGATTATATGGTGTTGATGATGATGATGATAATAATGATGGTGATGATGATGATAATTTTGATGATGATGATGATGATGATGATCATAATGATGATGATGATTATATGGTGTTGATGATAATGGTGATGATGATGATAATGATGATGATTATATGGTGTTGATGATAATGATAATGGTGATGATGATGATAATGATGATGATTATATGGTGTTGATGATGATGATAATGACGATGATGTTTCAGTAGCTGTCAGTTTTCATCGAGCGGTCCTATGTAAATGGTGAAATCTCACACAAAAGACTAGAGATGGACTACATTGTGAATTGTGCTAACTCTCAGTCTTTGAACTGCTTTATTCACATAAATTACGGTTGCCAAGTGAAGATGGTGTAAGCCGTAAGGTAAGAAGACTATGTTTGATGTTGATGTTGATGATAATGATGGTAATGATGATGATGATGACGATGATGTTGTTGATGATGTTGTTGATGATGATGTTGATGATGATGATAATGATGATGATGATGATGATGATGGTAATGATGATGATGGTTATGATGATGATGGTAATGATGATGGTAACGATGATGATGATGATGATGATGATGATGATGATAATGATGATGATGGTAATGATGATGATGGTAATGATGATGATGGTAATGATGATGATGGTGATGATGATGATGGTAATGATGATGATGGTTATGATGATGATGGTAATGATGATGGTAACGATGATGATGATGATGATGATGATGATGATGATAATGATGATGATGGTAATGATGATGATGGTAATGATGATGATGGTAATGATGATGATGGTAACGATGATGGTGATGATGATGATGATGATGATAATGATGATGATGGTAATGATGATGATTATGGTAATAATGATGATGGTAATGATGATGATGGTAATGATGATGATAGTGATGATGATGATGATGATGATGATAGTGATGATGATAGTGATGATGATGATAGTGATGATGATAGTGATGATGATGATGATGATGATGATGATGATAGTGATGATGATAGTGATGATGATGATGGTGATGATGATAGTGATGATGATGATGATGATGATGGTAGTGATGATGATGATGATGTTAATGATAATGATGATGATGATGATGATGATGATGACGATTATGATGATTGATTGTGGTGACAAGAGGATGTTGGTTTTGACATTGCTGAGGCTAATGGTAGTGAAGCGATGGATGGAGTAAAGTAAGGAGATGATGATGATGGTGGTTGATCAGATTAAACTGGAGTGCAGATGATATTCATTCTCTGTATTAATATTCAAATTTTGATGATGATCAAGAATTCTATAATATTAAATCCCTATTCATTACATTTAATAATTGATATTCTAATAATTCTTGTCCAATTTTTCCTTTTTTATTATGACAGGGGCCTTTGATTTATATGACTTAGATAAAGATGGCTACATCACAAAACAAGAGATGCTTCATATAGTAGAAGCAATATACAGGATGGTTGTAAGTATATACCAATTCAATAGTCATCCTTTGGATATGTGTATAGCCACGTACATGCAATACTGTCTGTTGCTGTTTATTATTTTTTTTACTGGTCTTTACGGTTTAAAGATAAAACTTGAGTTCTGGTTTAAAAAAAAGAACATTAATTATCACAGAATCAAACGAAACTTACACTGAATGTTCAAGATTACAAATAAATGACATGTATGTACGTGCCAAACAATTTTGGAAGAAAATGTGTACTGGCTGAGTAATGAGCATAGAAAGATAAGTAAATCAAGGTAGTACTATAGCCCGACACCATTTGTGTAGTCCCATATACATCTTTCTGTGTACAGTGCTTGTTACTTTACCAAGACTGGGCCAAATTTATTATGATTTTGATGACTCCAGAACCTTGCAGTGCATGTGCACCAATACTTACATGCTACATGATCAACTGTTTCTGATCCATTCCACAACGTTTCTTTCACAATGCAATCGTATTACCAGAACTCGATCACCTTTATCTTTAATTGTATATTTATTTTAAAATATATTTGGCATGTAAAACATCAAAACACAATTTGAAATATTATTATAATGATATTAAATACAAGATTTTCCTCTTTACTACTTTTATATTAACAATTAGTATGATATTTATGGCAAACTTTGCCCTGAATCTGATGTGCCCTGAATCTGACCGTACTTCGGACACATCAATCGTGAGATTCGTAACCAATGGCAACTTGCCCGGGGAGTCCAAGTCGGTGTGAAAGGTGCTCCTGTATTTTCCCCTGTTTACCCAGACAGTTGAGCTCGTAATATCTGCAGATTTTCCCTGGGGAACTCTACTGGGGAAAACCTCTTTACTTGGTTTGAAAGGAATATTAAATACATTAAAATTCTGGTTATTAGTATTCTTATCGGTATTTAGAACCTTAATCGTGATTAATGGTGGCTTATATTTCCATATCCGAATATGATTGCCATTTCTTCGGAAATGAATTGCAGGAGGGTCGTGTAGTGTGTGTCAGGGCCTTATACTTGCCATCTATAGGACGAATTGGCCTCGGAGAGTTGTTTTTTATTCAATTCAGAGAGAGACAGAAGAGCAGTAGAGCACTAAGTCTATATTATTAATGAATTCCCTTCTGGATCTCAGCAGACGTCCAGCATCTATAATTCTGATTGTTATTGTCTCTCTATTTGCTTCCAGGGCAATATGTTAGATCTTCCACACGATGAAGACACACCGGAGAAAAGAGTAACTAAGATCTTCACACAAATGGATAAAGTAAGCGAAATTGATTATATTTATAATCTATTTTCAAATTGTATTTCTCTGTCTGTCTTTATCTGTCTGTCTTTATTTATCTATCGATCTATCTATCTATCTATCTGTCTGTCATTTAATTTAAACCACACTATTTTCCTAGTCACCTCATTTCTCTTTTTCTGTCTGTCTGTCTGTCTCTTGTTCTTTTCTAGTCTGTACGCTCTCTTGCTATACAATGATTCTTTATACAACGTTTCTTTGAATGAATTTTGTATAAATTACACGTAGTCAGAACAGGGACCTGTGGATATTGTGGGGTAATCAGGACCCCAAATATCTATTCTACATCACCACTCATGAAACTACCTTCCTATATAACACCTATAAAAGAGGACACTCAGGCGTAATGTCCATGCCAAGATTGCCCTTTGATAATGCTATTAAACTGTGACTGCTTATATATGAGACACCCCCAATGGATGCTTTCCAGAGGCCTAGTAAAATCTAGGCAAGCCCTCTATATGGGAAAGGCCCTAGATAGGTCCCTTGCCGATGCTCAAGAGGCATGTCTTCATCAGCTCGAAATTGCCAAATAACCTGCTATTTCTGATTTGGAAATAAGCCTGAAGTTACAAATCACGTCGTCATCAGCTCGAGACTCGACCTCTGAACTCAAAACTCAAGCACGAGAGATTAGCTTGAGATAATTTGCTCGGCGTGAAAACGCACCGGACAAATAGCAGGATATTTTGCAAACTAGCCCAAGATATCTTAGGATGATTATCTCAACCAAATATCCCGGTAATTGCAATTGCGGGCTGATGAGGAGGCAAATTAACTGGATAATTTGCGATCGGGATAGTTAAAATAGCTGGTTATATTTGGCAATCTCGAGCCGATGAGGACAGGCCTAAGGAAGCTTTCGATAATAATTCCTTTGAATTGAGGGGAATTTCACATGGATGATCTTGGTGATGGTCGGTGATAAAGCATGCATGCATACAATCAAGGTCATGCATCCTGACCCTTAAGGTGCAGTCAGTGGTTCTTAAAGGGGAAGTCCACCCTGATATCAATTTGGTTTAAATAGAAGCAGAAAAATTAGGAACAGGTCAGTGAAATTATTGGTAAAATCCGATTAGAAATAAGAAAGTTATTCATTTTTGTCTCGCCTGCGTAGCAAAAAGCGAGACATAGGCGCCACTTTTCCGGTGACGGCGGCGGCGGCGTCAACATCAAAAGCTTAACCTAAGGTTAAGTTTTTGAATTTTTGATATAATTTTTAAAGTATAAGTTCTTAGTCAATGAAACTTTGACTATAGGGTAATCAAGTATCCCCAATCATGTGAGTATAATTTCAGATCACAAAGTCAAGGTCAAAGGTCATTTCAGGTCAACAGACTTGGACTATGTTGCAGCATCATCATCGAAAACTTAACCTAAGGTTAAGTTTTTGAATTGTGAGATTTTGCTCCATTGATTATTTATGGTACTTTATGCAAATGAAATGAAATTATGTCCCTTGCAGGGCATCAAATTTTTATTCAGTTCAAAAGTGTACCACATAAAATTTACGATATTTGTTGTTGCGAGATGCGGATGAGCGCTATGTCATTGACATTCTGGTTTATCATATTGAATTGCGTTATGCAGGCGAGACCGCCGAGAGCGTTTCCCTTGTTTTAAAGTTGTTATCAGTGAAACACAAATTGGCAACACTGTGAAGAAATATCAATCCCAAACCCTCTTAATGGTTAGTGGCTTGTAATTTATATCTGAGATTTCAAAAATTAAAGTTTAAAGCTACGTCGGTCATGTGCTTACATAGCTAATATCTATACACTGCTTTAATTGTTATGGCTGCTAGATCTCTCACGTCTAGATATGAGATTGAGTGCAGAGCAAACATTCCGTCTATTGATTATTCTTCTAGAGTGTAGTTATTTCCACCACACTTATTATTGCCCTTTCCGTTCAACGGACATTTACACAAGGTCATCGGACATACCTCTTTAAATGGGAGGGTCTCGATTGTACTAAATTCGCTGAGGATCGAGTCAACAGAAAATTGCTAATGAAACATAAAAGTGGGATATCTATTTGGGGAAGTTACTGACAAAGCTTATTTCTATTTGCAATAAGAACAGTTAAAAATGGGGGAGGGGAGGGGCTGGGGCTGCCACATCCTACCCCCACACCCCACCCCACATGTATGTATTTGTACCTTGTGTCACTTTTTCTTTTTTCTTCTCTAAAATATCAATTCACTCAAAGGAATTGTAAATTGCAGAGGGCTTGTGATCCATAATCTGTGCATTTGGGATGAAGCAGGAAATCATTAATTGTTTTACTATTTAAGTAGCATTACATCACCCTTCAGTTTGGCTGTACACAGTGTGTTTCATCTCTGTCTTTTGAGAAATGCATAAAGATGGTTCCTGCTCAGTGCCTTCAACGTACCTTCACTAGCTTCAGCCTGAGAAATGCATGCATCAAGAGACATAGATATTTAATGATTGATAGAGTTAGCATTAATGAAATTATTCTACCCTATCATCTTTCCATCGAACACAAGCTTATTGGAGAGATTGAAAAAAAAAGGTACAAACGGATTATTGCAAATAAACTAGTTCAGAAGAAATATCATAAGCTTGTTTATTATTGAAAGCAGACCATGGTCTGTCAAATATTGTAAATCAACGACTGTAAAATATACACTAAATCACTGCTCAGAATTCTGAATTTTTACTCAATTATGTTTTAATTCCCATTTTCCTGATTCCTACCAATTTTTTTTTCTTCTAATTTCCTCTAGAATAAAGATGGAAAGCTAACAAAGGATGAGTTCAGGGAGGGGTCAAAGTGTGATCCCTGGATCGTCCAAGCGCTTTCACTGGAAATACCCCATGACAGCGCCTCCTAGCAACAAGAGGATGACATCATCATCATCGTCAACGAAGCCCATCAATTCATCAATGAAATATATCACGTGACCTGCAATGCCAAGAGGATTCTCTCATTCAACCTTTAACCCTTGACCTGAGTATGCCGCTTCATAGACCATGTGCTCAACCAGACATGAGGTTTGATCTCCTCTTCACACTTAAAAGGAAAATCATCCATGTTTTCAAACAAGATTTATCTCTTACGTAGTTATCCTTTCTTAAATTGTCACAGTTGAAGTGAGAATTTTTTTTTGCCAAACAACTAGTATAAGACATCACAGTAACCTGCAATTTCTGTAGAATCACCTTAAATGCATATTTCTTGTTTTCGTTTTCAGATTTCCATGGATGAGGAGAAAATGAGCTTTTGCTTTTCATGTTAAACCTTTAATTTTTTATCAAGAATTGAAGAATTTTGAAGATTTTAACCTTTTATGTACCTTAATAGCCAATCAACACATTAGCTGGTATGCCTCAGGTGCCTATTGGTTCAAACTAGGATAGAAACAAATTAACAATAGGGTTCATTCATCATGTTGCAAATTAAAAATGCGACTGCCCTTTTCCTGTATTAAAATGCATTTGAAAGTTATGCCCTATCACATGAATACATACTGTACGGTAGGGGTCATTCCATGTCAAATCACCCAAAAAATCTGAAAATCTTAACCCGACCATTTTTGATTTTGATGAAACTTGGTGAACTTGTTGAGTGTGATCTCACAGCACCAAATCCCAAATTTTAGGTCAATCGGGTGAGGGGTTTGGGAGATACGGCCCACCAAATTTTGAGATTTTTTCAAAAATGGGGGTGGCGGGCCTACCTTTGAACCCTTGTATCTCGGGACCTAATGGGTCAATCTTCTCAAAATTTGTATTGTTGGAAAGGGTATTCAATAAGGATTCCAAATCTGCCGCCATTTTGAAGATTCGTACATGTTGGGGTACTTTGACCTCTTGACCTAAGATTTGACCTTGAAATTGACCTTGTGGATCACGTAACTTTGACAACATTTTTCATGAAATGTAATCTCTGACATGTTCACTAAAACATATAAAAGTTTCAGAGATATAATATTTTTTGTTTTGGAGCAATAAGGATTGAAAGTATCCATGCTCACAGATATTCACAATAAGCCCTATTATAATGTATACGATACATGCAATATGCACAGTACAACATACATCTTCCACATGCTTTTTTGTTTTAGTCATATCCATCCTAAATGTCAGCAGTACTTGAATAGAAATAAAATGACAAGTTCATATAGGCCTAAAGGGTTAACAGGATGTATGGCTTTAGACCTCCGAGTCAGTTCTAGGAAAATTCCCCCCCCCCCCCCCCCGGAAAACTACCCTCTAAGGACAATTACCCCAGAGGACAATACACCAGTTTACAGTTGTATCAGTGCGCATGAGCAGACAGAGGTCAGAGGTTATTGGCCCCAAAATTGGGGCCAATAACCTCTGACCTCTGGTATTTATGCGTAAATTAAGATTGCGCCCATGCAAATGATGATATGCGCGCACAACGCAGCGCGCAGGCAGTGATATCATCATAATTTGCATGGGCGCAATCTTAATTTACGCATAAATATATGACCTCTAGGTCATTGGCTTTGTTTAAAATGGCGCACACAACTGTAAACTGGTGTATTACCCCCCCCCCCTATTTGTTAAAGGGGAAGTCCATCCTGATAATAAAGTGGTTTTTATCAAAGCAGATTTTTTTTTTTTTGGGGGGGGGGGGGGGGGTATAATATTCTTGAGGGGTAATTTTCCCGGGGGGGGGGGGGTAATTGTCCTAGGGGGAAATTGTCCGGGGTTAATTGTCCTTGGGGGGGGGGGGGGGGGACAGATTGTCCTAGGAGGTAATTTTCTGGGGGGTAATAATCCTCTGGGTGTGATAGTCCTTGAGGGGGTAATTGTCCTCGGGGGGGGGGGGGGGGGGACATTTCCTGAGGGTTAATTTTCCAGGGGGGTAATTATCCTAGAACCGACTCAGAGGCCTAAAGCCATACATCCTGTTAACCCTTTAGGCCTACATGAACTTGTCATTTTATTTCTATTCAAGTACTACTGACATTTAGGATGGATATGCCTAAAACAAAAAAGCATACATGTGGAAGATGTATGTTGTACTGTGCATATTGCATGTATTGTATACATTATAATAGGGTTTATTGTGAATATCTGTGAGCATGGATACTTTCAATCCTTATTGCTCCTAAACAAAAAATATTATATCTCTGAAACTTTTATATGTTTTAGTGAACATGTCAGAGATTACATTTCATGAAAAATGTTGTCAAAGTTCCGTGATCCACAAGGTCAATTTCAAGGTCAAATCTGAGGTCAAGAGGTCAAAGTACCCCAACATGTACGAATCTTCAAAATGGCGGCAGATTTGGAATCCTTATTGAATTCCCTTTCCAACAATACAAATTTTGTGAAGATTGACCCATTAGGTCCCGAGATACAAGGGTTCAAAGGTAGGCCCGCCACCCCCATTTTTGAAAAAATCTCAAAATTTGGTGGGCCGTATCTCCCAAACCCCTCACCCGATTGACCTAAAATTTGGGATTTGGTGCTGTGAGATCACACTCAACAAGTTCACTAAGTTTCATCAAAATAAAAAATGGTCGGGTTAAAACCATTGGGTGATTTGACATGGAATGACCCGTAGGTGTTATGAAAGAAATCTCATAATATCACAAGACAATAAATGCAAATGTTCTCTTGAAAAAATAATTTGGCACAGAGGTATTTGAAGCACATAAAGGGTTAACATTCATATGCCCTCTCCGTCTCTGATCTAAGTATGGCATAGAATACTCAATTTATTTTCTTTATTGGCTTTTTGCAGGGATGTTGGAATACATTGTAATAATATATTTTGTATGTGTCTTTGCTGTAAAAAGGAAAATAATTGTACAAAAGTAGAATTTTGGAATGTTTATATTTGTAAAAACCACACTGTACATATAAAAAAATGTTTTAAAAGTTGTGTGTACATATATTGTATCATTGAATTGAGAATTTGGGTTGTTTTTGTTGAATGGGCATTTCAGTCTTATTTTGAATTGGTGAGTTGTGTGAGACTGTATTTTTATTTCTATCAAACGATGATTAATTTCAGTATTTATTTTATTCTACCATGATGAAACAATTAATTGGTGTATTCGGCTTTCATCGTATGCATATAATTTTGTAGAATTTTATTGACTATAGGCGGTGTCATACAGAAAAATCCTGACCCATCTTGAATAAACCTGATTTTAGAAATCTAGTTTTTTTCGTTTACGTCAGTGACAGACTGGTGACAGACAGGCTACGAATAAACCGGATAAATAAAATCCGGATTTTTGATGGGCCATTGCGCATGCACCGTGTAGGTGGATAAGCATTGTGACATCACACGTTTAAATGCGCGCATTTAAACGTGTGATGTCACAATGATTTTAAAGGGATTATTTCAACATTGGTGTCAGACAGAAAAATCCCCTTAAAAATCCTTTCAAGGGAGAATTATCTTGCTTCGTTACAGGAATTTTTAAGGGATTTTTGAAGGGATAATTGATGACAGACAGCCATTTAAGAGGATAACTAAAATCCGGATTTTTGGCCTCTGTGTGACACCGCCTTATATGAGAAGAATGGTGCTCACAGGAATGCACACAAGTACAGTCAAACCTGATTTAGTGCCGACCACCGGTCTACAAAGGACACATTTTTTTTCCTCCTGGGTGGTCTTTATAGACAGGTTTCACTATATATATATATATAACAACAGAATGGAAAGCACTCTTTCTATGTAATTGTTAAAAAATAGCTGAGATTCCGAGTAAAATTTCTTGGACTTCTAGATGTGATTCATCCAAGAGATAGGACATTGTCACAAAAGGCGCGTCTTCATTATCTTGAGATTGCCAAATAGCCCGCTATTTCTGATTTGGGAAATAATCCCGAAGTTACAAATCGCGTCTACATCAGCTTGAGATTCGACCTCGAAACTTGAAACTCGATCTTGAGAAATTAGCTTGGAATATTTTGCTCAGCGTTCGCGCATAGTGCGAGTCTTCGGTCTGGTGACAACGCACCGGACAAATAGCTAGATATTTTGCCAAATAGCGGGATATTTTGCAAACTATCCCAAGATATCTTGGGATGATAATCCCGACCAAATATCCCGCTAATTGCAACTTCGGGCTGATGAAGACGCAAGCTAACTGGATAATTTGCGATCGGGATAGTTGAAATAGCGGGATATTTGGCAATCTCGAGCTGACAGGCCTAAATAGTTTTTGTTTACTCACAGCTAGTGTATTTCAGTACAGAGTGCTCAACCATTTTCACATGTTATGCTGTTGCGATGCAGAAAGTGAATTATAAGCCAAAATTACATGACAAAGTCATTAGCAATCACACTTCCTGCATACATACATACATGTAGCTAAGAATTGCATACATGTACATGTATATCCCCCCCCTTCCATATATCTCTCTCTTATTTCTTAGTATTGGAATTTTGCCAGCCATTTTGAAATATATCTAGACCACTTTTTGATACAGAATTCAAATGTTTGCTTGGGTTTGGATACACATAATGCAGGCTATGCCTGAAAAGAATGGCCTTCACGCAATGATAATTGTTAGTCTTTATTGTATATTCATAATGTCTGGTAACAAGGCTAGGGATTACTATGGAAGGGGGTCTTGACAAATACTGGTATCATTAAAAGGTTAGGGGGTCAATTGTATGGTTGGGTTTGAACTTGAGTACCCTTAGTGAAGTACAAACCACACCAGAAAGGGTGTTAAGCAAGTTTCTGGGCGAGTCAAAGGTATTTCTTATATATTACCAAGTATTTTTTTTTGTATCGCGGAAATGTGAACATAGATTGACACAAATGTGTTATTTTCCTTGGATTTTGTCTGATTCAGGCTCTTGTAAAATGATATGTGTTAATGCCTTTTTACATATGTAGGCCTCAAATGTTTAGTTAAAAGGTTGCTTTAAAAGAGTGTGATTTTTATTGTAATTTGTATAACTGAAGGAGAGTTCCTAGTTTATCGCAATAGTTGGTATCTTTTATTATTTGTAAATTTATGCATTGAAGTGATTTATGCACAATATCTTTGAAACTTTCCATTGTAGTATCTTTGCCTTCTACCCTTTTTTTTGAAAGATGATTATTATACCGTCTTTTTTTCCTTCTTTAAAAGCAATGCGTTTGTTTGAAATTCTACCTTATTCAAACAAAAACTCATTATTTTACATTGATTGATTTCTTGATTCAACCATATTTAAGGCTTCTGTTTTTTTTAATAGTTTGTAAATTTTCTTGGGGTATTTGTGTAAATTTTCTTGGGTCAATTTAGTCATCTAGATTGTTGCAATTTATTTATGTGATGTATTGAAAAGAGACATGCTTCTTTCATTTATATTTTGTAATCATTTACTTCAAGCTGGTCTTGGTCAGTAACGCTTTGTACTTGTAGAATATTGAGTTTAGATTTGTTGTGTCATGAAGAGAGCTACTCGTAGAATGTGGAGTGAGAGAGGTAGGTACATGGATGGTTTATTTATTTATGTTGTTAAAGGCACATTTTACAGCAATGT